GATCAGCTTTCCAGCGCTGGAGAGAACTCGAGGAGTGGAAGGCCTGCGATCGGACGCCGAGGTTGCTTTGTTTCTTCTCGATAGGTGAGTAACACCGTGTCTGCGCCGCAACAGCTAAAGTCTGTCTAGTACACTGGACGCGACAAAGCGACCGTTGAAAATCATTTGAAATTTGTGTCAATACGTCATGAATAGAACGCAGCAGCAGTTTTCTGTCGGGGATTTGTCGTGTCGTGTCATGCCGCACCGCATCCAGTGTAGACCATAGATATGTATATATTAGGGGTGTAACGGTACGCATATCGTGTACCGAACGGTTCATGGGCAAATTCCAAATGGAAGTGATCATCTCTATCCTCTTTGGACTTTGGAGTGAGCAGGGCACGTGCATTCCATTATGTAGTCGTTTGGAATGCACTTGGCAAAGGAGAGCGATGTAATTTCCTCATCTTCAGCTGGGATGTTCCCGTGAAAACGCAGCACGGTGTCCGTCAGCAGATGTCGCTGTTTTACTGTCATAAATGTCTTTTATTGTTGTTAGCATAACTGTTGCAAATAAACATACATTTTATATTTTAAAAAGTTTTTAAAATATGCTATATAATATATAAAAAACAATATATATAAAACTTTTAAAAATATTAAATGTTTATTTTTTTATTCGCTGATGGACACCGTGCTGCGTTGTCATGGGAACATCCCAGCTGAAGATAATGAGGAAATTACATCGCTCCCCCAAGAGCTTGTAACACTCCAAAGAGAAAGGAAAACTTGAAATCGCATCATATGACCCCTTTAAGTTAAAATTGGAACTGTTTGATTTTAATTGTAGGTCTTTCTGGAGGTCTGATCTCATTTGTACTGTTGTGACGTAATTGCTTGAAGCATAGAAGCAGTATAAAAGTGCTTTAAATAATCTGGTCAGGCAATGTTACAATCTTTAAATAGTTCTTTAGTTTAGCCAGTTTGTATTATGGGATAAAGTTTTTTGTTCCTTTTATTTAGCAAGGACACGTTAAATTGATCAAAAGCAGTGGTAAAGATATTTATAATGTTACAAAAGAATTCTACTTCAAATAAATACGGTTCTTCTGAACTAGCTATTAATCAAAGAATATTGAAAATAAATACATTTTGCAATTATTTTAATATTTGTAATATTTATATTACAGAAAGATTTTTATATTCTCACCAAGGCTGCAAACAAATGCAATTTGTGCATAAATGCAAAATGCGCAATAACTTCTGAAAAATAGTATGGATAAAAAAAGAGAAAAATCTCTCACAATTCTGTCTATATGGTCTAATGTCTCTTTTTCTTTACTCTGTCTTTTCTTTCTACTGTTCTCTCTCGCACACACTTAGCCATGGCAGTTTGTTGATGAGCGCAGCAGATGTTGCAGTCAGGGTCCAGGGAGAATCAGTGGCAGCAGAAATGGTGGGCACTATTAAACTATTAGTTATGGAGAGGGTTTGACTCTCTCCCCCTCTCCATTTCCTTGATAAACCCCCGAGACAACACAGATAGAGGGAGAAAGCCTTCTGACTCATGCCTTTGGCTTAGAGATGCAACAAAGTAAAGATCTCCTTTTTTGTATACATAAGTACCCGCATTCACAAACACGCCTGCATTTAACTAAATAAACCTCTCTACTACTGAGAACCTCTCTGCTGGTTTTCTCTCAAGATGAGACTGAATCCGAAGAATGAAATCATCACACCGGCTGCCACGTCTGCATTCATATTAGAATCGCAATCTGTCGCCAAATGAAATTGGCATGGATGACACAAAGTGAGGGAGCGTGGGATGGAGAGATGGCTTGTAGGAAGCGGAGAGAGGAGCTTGGACTGATTGCCATTGGAATTCCCCAAGTAACTTTGAGTCCAATTTGATTAACACCAGAAAAGTCTGGCATCCAGAAATGCCAGCCTTATGTAAATGACAATCAAGATTCATTCAGTATGATGAGGCCTGATTTCAAGTCCAGTAGAAAGCCAGAGAGTGTGGATTTTACTCAAGATGGGCAGTGTATTTATGGGACTGGAAATGAGGCAGTGAGGGATGAATGTGTAGCCAGTTCTGTGGGTCTTGGGTTGCAACTTATTTTATTTTATTATTTTATTTTATTTCAAAGTGAAGTCATAGATGGGATTCATCTTTAGTGATGGTGCCATAGTCAAATAGGAAGGGACTCACTTTACAGATATATAAAAACACTGAAAATGAAAAGAAAATGGACAGGGTGATAGAGGAAGGCAGTAAAGATATTATACCCTTAAATGACGTAAGAGGAAAGGGATTCAAGTCTTATAAAAAAGAGGGATGAAAAGCAAAAGTATTTGTGGTTCATGAAAGGCTGGGGCCATTTGCGGTGCCTCTGTACAAGCTGAAGCAGCAGTCTGGACAGATTAGAAGAGCTACGAGTCTGAGGGCTGATGGGTATTTTTAGAGTTCCTGACAATAATGATAATGATAACACTGCGGTTCTACAGATTGAGAGAGAGAGAGAGAGTGAAATGCCACACAGCATCTCTCAACAATTTTCCACTCTTGAGATTAGTTTTATTTGTGGGATAACAGTACTCTTGAAATATGAGCTGGAACTTTAAAAGGGTTGTTTAGTCTGTGCCGATAGCTTTGTGCACAGCGTGCCGACATACAGCACCGTTGCGCTATGGGCGTCCCGAGTTCAAATCCCAACTCGAGGACCTCTCCCGATCATACCCCTCTTTCTCTTTCCCACTTCGCTTCCTGTCAGCTCTGATCTGTCTTATCATAATAAAGGCAAAAATGTCAAAAATAAATCTTTAAAAAATAAGTTGATTTGTGGAAAAATTAAATGTTAAACAGAAATACAAAATTATTGTATTAAAGATTTGGGGCCCTATCACACATTCGGTGCAATGCGGCGCCAGGCGCGACAAGTGTTTTTTGCTAGTTTCAGCCCAACGCAGTTATCATTTTCACGTCCTGCGCCACGTTGTTTAAATAGCAAATGCATATGCTCCCATTTGTGTGCTCGTGGGCATGCTGGTCTGAAAACGAGGTGTGTTCAGGCGCATTGTTGGCGCGTTGCTATTTTGAGGCAATTGAAATAGACTGCGCCATTGACCAACTAAAACCTGGTCTAAAGTCAACGCAGTAGTTTTTGTTATTTAAAGAGCTCGTTAGTAATATACGCCTATAGGTGGGTCCACAATGCGCATGCACTCTGCTTATTACACACACAGGGACGCGCAGCAGCACACAAACATGCCAAATATTAAAATTTAAAGGATTACAGTTTAAAAGATTATTATTGTGTAGGCTACATAAATATAAATATGCCTACATGTCATAATGGATAGTCATTGCATGTATCAGAATTAGGCTATCTATTTGCTCGCACACGAGCAGCTCCGTTTCCTCTCTGGAGATGCGTTCAGTCTTTGTGCTTGCAAATTCCGCTGTGTAAATAGCAAATCCGCCATGGCACGAGCGCAACTGGCTCTTAAAGGGAATGGGAGATGAAACTCTGATTGGTTTATTGCACGTTATGCCCAAAACACACCCATTACTCATTAAAAGAATAGGGACAACCCTTTAAGACCATGCGCCGGGTGCGCCGACCGTCTTTCCCGTCGTTAAACTACCAAAAGTGGATTCGGACACGCCCTATGTGCACCTGTGCCTTGCGCTTCAGACCATGCGCTTAGATCGTTAAAATAGGGCCCAAAGTTTCAGCATATTTGCGCTAGCAGCCTTCTGTGCATTCTGATTCATACAGTGCCTTGCGAAAGTATTCATTTTTTTTACATTACATTTTATGTTGCTGCCTTATGATAAACTTCTTTAAATTACTTTTTTTCCACATCAATCTACACTCCATACACCATACTGACAAAGCAAAAACAGAATTGTCACAACTTCGTAAATTTATTAAAAATAAAAAACTGAAATAAGTACATTGCATAAGTATATAACTAAAAAATGCTGCTGAGCTAAATTTCAACTGTCCCAGATATGGGTAGGTATGAATACTTATGCAATGGAATCATTTTAGTTTTTTATTTTTAATAAATTTGCAAAGATGTTAAAAACCAGTTTTTTTGCTTGACAATTATGGTGTATGGAGTGTAAAAACTAATTTAAAGCAGTTTAACATAAGGCAGCAACAAAACAAAATGTAAAAAAATTAAGGGGTATGAATACTTTCGCAATGCACTATAGTAGTGATGTCTGAATCATTCATTTGAATCAGATCTTTTCCAATGAATCAGTTAGTCACAGATCAGTTAGTTCACAAATTATTCATTTCATGGGTTCAACTCACTGACTCAATGTTCATTGAGATTATCAGTATATAGATTAAATGTTAAGTCTTTTATCTCATACTTAGCATCATAATTATTCCTTCAATGTCCTCTGGAAATATAAACAGTTCACTACCATTCAGAGTTTGGTTATCTCTAAGATCTCTAAGATGTTTTTTAAAGGCTTTATATTTTTGTTCATAAATATAGTAAAAAATGTATGCTGTGAAATACTATTACAATTTAAAATATAAAAGTATCTGTTTCAATATATCTTAAAAGGTAATTTATTCCTATAGCGGAAAAGCTGAATTTTAAAATTTTAGTTTTAAAACGGTTTGTGCTGCTTAATATTTTTGTGAAAACAGTGATAGTTTTTTTTCAGGATTGTTTGATGAACAAAGCTCAAAATAACAGCAGTTATTTGAAGAAAAAGAAATGTAGAAAGTGTAAATATTTTGTAATTGAATGCTTCCTTTCTGAATAAAATTAATTCCCTTCAAAAAAGAAAAAAATCTTACTTGACCCCCAAACTTTTAATTGAGCCATAGTGTTGCGTTTGGTCTGTTTTCCTTCTTGTGCTCTGCTCTCTATATTGCTTGCATCAGACTGGCCCGATTATGTAACTATAAGTTTGTCTACTTTTTAATTACTGTGGTGCATATGTATTCAGTAAATGTTAATATCTACATCCTCTCCGCAGGTAGTTCCCAGATGGGGGCCACTATAGTAGACGCCCTGGATACCCTTTACATAATGGGCCTCCACGATGAGTTTAAGGATGGCCAGGAGTGGATCGAGCAAAACTTGGATTTCAGTGTGGTAAGTGGCCAAGACTCGGACATGAACACACATACACACTGTAGCGTCTGGACCAATCAAACACACAATTTTTCATTTGATTTAACAAATCAGTTCTTCATTAGATTAACAAATCGCCACAGTCCCCTCACCCAATAAACTGGATGCCAGGATGTCTGCAAATGACACCAAACCATGGCAACCCTGACACCAGATACTTTTACGACCTCATGGAATGTGAGCAGGGAAAAGCACTGTCTTTTCATAAGGAAAATCCCCAAGGCACAGTAGGAATGCACACACACATGCTTACCAACAACACTTGTCTTTGTCGGTTTGGAGGCAAAGCGCGTCTGTTTTTGTTTGCAGACACAGTTATATCTCAGGACTCCTGTTATTTCACAGTGGTAAGCTGTATACTTTGGCAGCCAGCTGACACAGCTGTATTAACAGTCATTCAACACCCCGTGACCCCTCAAAGACTTCAGTCCTCAGCGTGTGTGCATCTTTCAGGTTTTGATCAGATTGTGGTGGCACTCTGTGGAAAACGTGTTGAGTTGATGTGACACATCACCGTATCCAGGAGACAAGACTGGCGCCATGGAAACAATGTGAACCGCTCTGCCTCCGGAATTAGCCGGTGATGTTGAGGAAAAAATGGCAGACAAAAGAGACGTCAGAGAATGGAGCGGGGGCCGGCGAGTGGCCCCAGGGGCCTAGGCTTGCCGTGATAGACGGTGCTGACGGTGGTACCGGTGTTAAGCCGCAACACCGGTTACGTCACTTGCCCACCGCAGCACCGACCCCCACCGTCGTTTAGATTTTTTATAGTAATAAAAATCATTTAGTTCAGTAAAAGAACAGACACTACAATTAAAAACTGAACGCGGCTGCTCAATGCAGCATGCCGAACGACAGTCACATCACAGATCAGATTTCATTCATCCAGTGAGGAGAGTGAGTCGAGCTGACTGACAAGAAGAGTGGGGTGAGACAGACAAGACGATGGTGGATGATTTAGTTTCGAAACGAGATGCAAAAGCGCCTGTTTGGCAATATTTTGGATTTTGAAAAGCCTGTTGACTTTTGCCGTTTATCTAAGGTGATTTTG